ACTGTTGTTTGGCTGAACTCTGTATGTTATACTACTGTTGTTTGGCTGAGCTCTGTATGTTATACTACCGTTGGTTGGCTGAGCTCTGTATGTTATACTACCGTTGTTTGGCTGAGCTCTGTATGTTATACTACCGATGGTTGGCTGAGCTCTGTATGTTATACTACCGTTGGTTGGCTGAGCTCTGTATGTTATACTACCTTTGGTTGGCTGAGCTCTGTATGTCGTACTACAGTTGTTTGGCTGAGCTCTGTATGTTATAGTACTTTTGTTTGGCTGAGCACTGTACTAGTATGTTATACTACCGTTGGTTGACTGAGGTCTGTATATTATACTACTGTTGGTTGGCTGAGCCCTGTATGTTATACTATTAATGGTTGGCTGAGCTTTGTACATTATGCTACCGATGGTTAACTGATTTCTGTATGTTATACTACTGTTGTTTGGCTGAGCTCTGTATGTTATACTACCTTTGGTTGGCTGAGCTCTGTATCTTATACTACTGTTGTTTGGCTGAGTTCTGTATGTTATACTACTGTTGTTTGGCTGAGTTCTGTATGTTATACTACCGTTGTTTGGCTGAGCTCTGTATGTTATACTACTGTTGTTTGGCTGAGCTCTGTATGTTATACTACCGATGGTTGGCTGAGCTCTGTATGTTATACTACTGTTGTTTGGCTGAGCTCTGTATGTTATACTACTGTTGGTTGGCTGAGCTCTGTATGTTATACTACTGTTGTTTGGCTGAGCTCTGTATGTTATACTACTGTTGGTTGGCTGAGCTCTGTATGTTATACTACTGTTGTTTGGCTGAGCTCTGTATGTCATACTACTGTTGTTTGGCTGAGCTCTGTATGTTATACTACTGTTGTTTGGCTGAGCTCTGTATGTTATAGTACTGTTGTTTGGCTGAGCTCTGTATGTTATACTACTGTAGGTTGGGTGAGCTCTGTATGTTAAGCTACCGTTGGTTTGCTGAGCTCTGTATGTTATACTACCTTTGGTTGGTAGAGCTCTGTATGTTATACTACCTTTGGTTGGCTGAGCTCTGCATGTCGTACTACAGTTGTTTGGCTGAGCTCTGTATGTTATAGTACTTTTGTTTGGCTGAGCACTGTACTAGTATGTTATACTACCGTTGGTTGACTGAGGTCTGTATATTATACTACTGTTGGTTGGCTGAGCCCTGTATGTTATACTATTAATGGTTGGCTGAGCTTTGTACATTATGCTACCGATGGTTAACTGATTTCTGTATGTTATACTACTGTTGTTTGGCTGAGCTCTGTATGTTATACTACCTTTGGTTGGCTGAGCTCTGTATCTTATACTACTGTTGTTTGGCTGAGTTCTGTATGTTATACTACTGTTGTTTGGCTGAGTTCTGTATGTTATACTACCGTTGTTTGGCTGAGCTCTGTATGTTATACTACTGTTGTTTGGCTGAGCTCTGTATGTTATACTACCGATGGTTGGCTGAGCTCTGTATGTTATACTACTGTTGTTTGGCTGAGCTCTGTATGTTATACTACTGTTGGTTGGCTGAGCTCTGTATGTTATACTACTGTTGTTTGGCTGAGCTCTGTATGTTATACTGCTGTTGTTTGGCTGAGCTCTGTATGTTATACTACTGTTGGTTGGCTGAGCTTTGCATGTTATACAAATGTTGGTTGGCTGGGCCCGTTCTGTTATACTACTGTTGTTTGACTGAGCCTTGTATGTTATACAACTGTTGTTTGGCTGAGCTCTATGTGTTATAGCACTTATAGAGTACAGAGTACGGAGTTTGGATGAGCTCTGTATGATATATACTACTGTTGGTTGGATGAGCTCTGTATGTCATTCTACTGTTGTTTGGCTGAGCTCTGTATGTTATACTACCTTTGGTTGGCTGAGCTCTGTATGTCATACTACTGTTGTTTGGCTGAGCCCTGTATGTTATACTACTGTTGTTTGGCTGAGCTCTGTATGTTATACTACCGTTGGTTGGCTGAGCTCTGTATGTTATACTACTGTTGTTTGACTGAGCCTTGTATGTTATACTACTGTTGGTTGGCTGAGCTCTGTATGTTATACTACCGTTGGTTGGCTGAGCTTTGCATGTTATACTAATGTTGGTTGGCTGGGCCCTGTCTGTTATACTACTGTTGTTTGACTGAGCTTTGTATGTTATACAACTGTTGGTTGGCTGAGCTCTATGTGTTATAGCACTTATAGAGTACAGAGTACGGAGTTTTGATGAGCTCTGTATGTTATATACTACTGTTGGTTGGATGAGCTCTGTATGTTATACTACCTTTGGTTGGCTGAGCTCTGTATGTCATACTACTGTTGTTTGGCTGAGCTCTGTATCTTATACTACTGTTGTTTGGCTGAGCTCTGTATGTTATACTACTGTAGGTTGGCTGAGCTCTGTATGTTAAACTACTGTTGGTTTGCTGAGCTCTGTATGTTATACTACCTTTGGTTGGTAGAGCTCTGTATGATATACTACCTTTGGTTGGTAGAGCTCTGTATGCTATACTACCTTTGGCTGGCTGAGCTCTGTATGTCGTACTACAGTTGTTTGGCTGAGCTCTGTATGTTATACTACTGTTGTTTGGCTGAGCTCTTATGTTATACTACCGTTGGTTGGCTGAGCTCTGTATGTTATACTACTGTTGGTTGGCTGAGCTCTGTATGTTATACTACTGTTGTTTGGCTGAGCTCTGTATGTTATAGTACCGTTGGATGGCTGAGCTCTATATGTTATACTACTGTTGGTTGGCTGACCTCTGTATGTTATAGTACCTTTGATTGGCTGAACTCTGTATGTTATACTACCTTTGGTTGGCTGAGTTCTTTATGATATTCTACTATTAGTTGGCTTAGCTCTTTTTGTTTTGTTCTGATGGTTGACTGAACGTAGAATGATAACGCAATGCCTCAGTTTCTTATAAGTTTATAATCTCTTCATTTTTTTTTCTTCAGAATTTACAATAACAACGAATGCCTTTAGATAGTGATTGAAGTCAAAGTCATTTGTTTGACAATGAGCTTCCATTTTATCGCTTTGTAAAACTGTTTTGTGTTTTATTTTGAATTGATTAATCACACTTTCCTATATAAGCTGTAAATTTCTTATGAAGTACTTTCCCTAATTAAACTCTGCTTTTTGACGTTACAAGAGAGGAAAGAAGGAATGTTGTAATGTGCGTTCTATACATGTGCTTTCAAGTCACAATATTCTTTTTTTTTTTAGATCGACCAGTGTTCAAGGCCGTAATTACCACTGAGGCAAGTGGGGCAAATGCCTCACTAAAATTTTAGAGTTTTCTGAAAATTGATAATGGCTTTACTTTGATCTGAAATTATTTGCATCTTTGTACTAAATTCATTATAATACTTTCAACTTTACTTCCAAATCGATCACCTCACCAGATGCTTCATCATAGTTTAGAAAGCATGTAAAAAAAAAAAAATTCAAAATATATGTGAAAATTTTCAAAGATTAAGTCTTTAATGTACTAAAACCCAGGTTTTGAGACCCCCCCCCCCCCCCCCCCCCGAGAACGCCATCAGGACACTACCCTCGACCCATTTGGGACTCGGGTGGCCCCCAGAATCCTTGCCTCACTAAAATGTTGAGCCTAGTTACGACCTTGCTGTTCATTATTTTCACCTATATATCCTTATGAGACCGTAGACTAGTCTTTAAGTGTACGTCCCTTTTATAAGTTCAGTGATATTACATAATATTGTTTAAGTTTATTATCCTGTAGTATAACATTAATCATGAAGTACATGTAATTGTAATAGCATAATTATTTCCCAGTAAAATAGGGTACATGAACCGATTATTCTTTAAAGAAAACAATCCACATTGAAAAGATGTCCATAGTATGGTGGCATATATTTCTGTCCCCTACATGCAAGATAAATTATGTTAACATGCATCATGATTTATCTTGCATGTAGGGGCAGAGATGTCTAATAAGGCATGCGCGTTATAGATATACAGATGCACAATACGAAAGACATAAATAACATAATATTTATGTCTCTGAAAATACTTATCTACTTCGCAGGATCAGGCAGTTCAAATTGTATTTATTATGTTTTTTTAACTATACAAGATTGTTCTATTGGCTTTACGTTGAAATATTTTCTAAAAATTGTATACTATTACAATTTAAATAGTACACATGTACACCCCTTAGATTATGTAATCAGTCATCCGCGCAGTGGTAGGAGCGTTTGCTCTAGAGTCGCGGAGTAAAGAGTTGATCCTTACGTCACGGGTTCGAATCCCACTGTGGGACGTGGAGACCAGTCCTACGGATGAGACCGTGAAAACCGAGGTCCCGTGTCGCAGTAGGTGTTGGCACAAAAAATATTCCTCACTGCTCAAAGGCCGTAAGTGCCGAATACATGCCTTCACCGGCAAGTGGCGGCGTCTCAATATGAGTGAAAAATTCTCGAAAGGGACGTTAAACAAAGAAACAATCAATCATGATCAGGTGTTTATGTTATCAGGTGTTCAGCTGAAGGTCACATCCTTGATGAAATATTCTTTTAATCTTCATTACAATAGAAAGTTTTAGAACATTGCTAGTATATGCATGTTTGTTTTCATACAGGGATACCACTAAGTAAAATTAATACGCTTAAATTCACACGTGCAGGTGAAAGGCATGTTCAGATTAAAATTTAATAAAGGTGTGAAATAATGATACAATGTCGGTAATCCTGTTTCAATGACCTTAGTTTGGGATTTTCATTGATCGTTTAGCACTCGTTTTAGTCATGTTTCCTGTATCACGTGCATAACTTAAAGAAAGCAATAGCTTTGTTTTTAAAATTTAAAAAAAAATATGTATTTCTGGAGCAAAACAATGCAAATGGCCAATCTACTGTTGTCTGTAGTTATAAACTGGTTTTCCAACAAAACTTTTATTAATTCATTAGTTATAAATTAGATTACTATATAACGTAACGAGGTCTCCTTTCTGTATTTTCAGATGATGAGAAAATGCTGTCATTGGTGCCGATAATTAATCAAATCAACTGATCGACCAATCAAATTTCGAGCTGATGTGTCCACGTTTGATTTTATTGAACTGAATTTATTTCTTGTGATATTTGATTACGCTCCCCGTGCTCTGTGACGATATATAAAGAAATATATTGGATTTTTCATCATATAGGAGTGCTTCTTGCCTCTTTCAGTGGTAGAGAAAAATTCTTTTAATTACACGATTTATGGTATATTTAAGACCTATAATTCACAAAAACCCAAAGGTCTGTCAACTGGGAAAGTTCAAGTGGATTAATGGAATTTAAAAAATCTATACTATAAACAAGACTTATGGTAACTATTGCCAAGGTTGGAGAGTTCATTTCCAGTCGGGATTAGCCATTAACACCAGTTTACTCACCAGACTAAGGTATATTTTCCCCGAAAACAATGCCTGCATACTGAAAAAGTAACAAACAAAAGATACATGACGATGAAGTTACCGACAGTACACCACATCCCAATTTTTTGTGGATTATACACAAAATGAGGACTGCCCTCTCCAGAAAAACGTGTCTTTGGTCAATGGAAGTTAATGAAGTTTAGTTTTACTTCTTGTGTTTTATGATAGTGCCAAAATAGTTTGCAGAGGAGAATGTTATTTCGAGAAAAGGGATAGAGGGTTGGAGGATGGAGTTTTAACTTAATGCGTAATCTGCCCACAATTTTGACTCAGATGTATATGTTTCATTCTTCAAGAGCGGATACAAAGAATTAATTTTTTCTTGCATTGAATTTTGAGGAAATCCTCGTTCCTAGGGGAGTATAAGTGTCGTGTTCGTCAGTAACCGGGTCCCTCTGGACACGATTACGGTGTCTACTTCCAAACAAAACAATTCTAATAAAATCAAGTAAGGCATCAAATTTGTCAACAGTGTGTCACAGACGCGATTGAAACTGGAATATTTTCTCAAATAGAAAATGTTTTCTCAAGTATTTAAGACTGTGGATTGTGCAGTATTGGGTTGAATGAGATTTCTGGAATGGAGGAACAGACATTTCCAACTATCAATATTAACACATCAGTGGTGTATTCGCTCTCAAATTTAACTGCTCTAAATCTGAGCACCACCGAGTTTCCAAGGCCCAAGGAAACGACATCGGGAATCCCGGAATCCCCCTACACACCATGGGAACAGGCGATTATACTATTTTTCCTCATTTTAATGATGATCGGGACGATCATAGGAAACTCTTTGGTATGCATAGCCGTAGCTTTGGTAAAACGACTGCAAACGCCGTCAAATCTCCTCATTTTGTCCCTCGCATTATCCGACCTTCTGGTAGCTGTCTTAGTCATGCCATTTGCAGCAACCAATGAGACTGCAGGTCATTGGCTGCTGGGGGACATCGTATGTGATATTTTTACGTCACTAGACGTGATCTTGTGTACCGCTTCTATTTTGAATTTATGCATGATAAGTGTGGACAGATACCTTGTAATCACTCGACCGTTTCAGTACGCAATGAAGCGTACACCACGGAGGATGGCTGTTATGATTGCTAGTGTGTGGATGTTATCTGTTGTGATTTCAATTCCCCCTCTGTTGGGATGGAAATCGGAAAGGCCTGACTATGTTTGTTTTATTAGTCAAAACATAGGATACCAAATCTATGCAACTCTTTTGTCCTTCTATATTCCACTAATGGCGATGATATTTGTGTACTTTCGTATTTGGCGGGTATCATCGCGTCTCGCTAAGAAGGAAATGAAATCTCAGCCTGGTAGTATTGATAAAGGAGCTGAAATACTCTACCTTCCGTCTCATCGCACTCCAAGGCATAGCAAAGAAAGTGACTATGGAACGCATCCGAACGGAATTCTCAAAAACGGTGGATGTGGTGACAATTGTAGTAGTAAAAAAAGTTCAAAAGAGGAGGAGGAATCCATGTTAGATATGTTAGCTAACCATAGGAATAATAATCGCCGGAGATTCACACTGAAGTCACTGCTAAGTCGTAATAGCAAGCACTCTCATAAGGAGAGGCGAGCAATAAAGACACTAGGGGTCATAATGGGCGGTTTCACCGCGTGCTGGTTGCCATTTTTTATTCTTGCCGTCATTCGACCTTTTTGTGGTGTGAACGAGGAAAATTGTTCCATTCCAGGAAGTCTTATGAGCATTTTTAACTGGTTAGGTTATTTCAATTCATTTTTGAACCCCTTGATTTACGCTCGATTCAACAGAGAATTCCGAACTCCATTTATAGAAATTCTCTGCTGTAGATGTCGTAAAATAAACATTCGGATCCGCTCGGAAAGTTATGCTGAGAAGTATGGTGAACCAACAGTGCTAAGGGACACGACATTTAGGGATAGTCTGAAACCCGTTACAGACACTGTAGTACGGTATGATAGCCAAGGGGTAACGAATGTGCATATCGGAAACGGCAGTGCCGATAATTACGATAAAGACAGAGAAAGTGTTGTGTAATAATGGATACCAGCCACTTAGCTGTTTAAATAGAGCATAATGATATTTCTATAAGGGTACAATTTGCGTCCACAAAGCGTTTGCTAAGTCAGTGCTTGAGCAGCGAGCGCTGTACTTGTTGTTAATGACGGTATGTAAGGTTCTGTATACAGAGCAACCCTCCCTTTTATATCTGTGATACAAGTAAATTGTTATAATTTGTTGATATGTGAACTTGCCAAATTGCAGAAATTTATGTATAAGTTATTGTTAGGTATCAAGTTTAATTATTCTACATTTGAGATTAACCATGACTTGGGATTTTCATTAGGAACATACATTGCTTTGTAGACCCTATTTTACAAATCGATTTAAAATTAAGCTGTAAAAATTTTAGCCTTCTTAATTTTCATAGTAGATAGAAAAAAATGCTTGTCTAAAATTTATCTAAATAATTTTTCCAATTCACACAAATTTCACGTTCATTTTCTTTGAAGAAAGAAATATATTTCGGAAATATATCTTTATCTTAATATTAAATCTTTTTGTAAAGCAGGCATCTCTATTGCAAACCATTTTTCATTTGAAATACATAATATTACAGTAATATTTTTTGCAATATTTGTCATTTATATTTGACAGAATGTGTACGTGTGGGAATAGAGCAGTTCTGGTTTTGCATGTAGTACGAATTTCCCAAAAAGTTTTAAAGACTAGAACTAAAAATGTAATCCTGCAAAGCAGTAAAATTATTTGGAAATTAGGACTATGTGAAGGATTATCAAATGTTGTAATGTAAATCTGAAATGAATGTGGCGGAGAGTTATCACTTATCATGTATACCTGTAACCGGTACAATCTTAAAAAAATATAACCTACGGAACACGAAAATAAAACATCTAAAAGTTTGTTTAAGCCATGTATTTAGAGGAGTGTTACTTTTAATTTGCACTAAAGACATTTACTACGTAGACAAAACAACTAAATTAAGAACATTATCTTTCTAAATAGTCATTGAAATGATTGTATCCGTCGTCAAAGAACGACGCCACTAGATTAAACGATTAGGTTTCGTAGCGCTAAAATCTTTTAAATACAACTTCATTTGATACAAATCCGAACCGGATTTAGTTATTTAAAGTTAATTTGGTCTACAATGTTCACCAACGCAAAGACAGATTCAAAATATTTTATTCGTAATGTTTTAAGTTTTAAATATTTAATTTAAAACATTTTCTCTCACACACGTTTGGTCTTTTGTAAATGTTCTATAAGATACTATGATGATCTTTATTTTTGAGATCTTGTATAAGCAAAGGCTAATTTAAACTTGAAATAGGTCAATCCCGCGAATAGAGAAAGCGCAAGGGTTACATATTTAAGAGGTATCAAACTCTCATTCATTTAAGCCGATTTTCTTCTAAATTTGGTAGATCTTTGGATAAGGCGCCTGACTGGTAGCAAACTTCTAAGGAGGGGCACTTACAGGTTATCCGCGCAACACTTCACGGGGAGGCAAAAATTATACAAGGTTATAAGACCAGCGAATCGCTGTCATTCAATCATCATTTCTTAGTTAAATATTGCAATGCTCAAGACTGTGTTTATTCCAAGTAAACATTTCTAGCAATAAAATCACCAAACCATGCACTTAAAACTGCTATATCCCGGGTTTCCATCTAAACTGCTGAGAAAGTCATATTGTTAAATGTAATACTCCGCATCATTATTCCGAGAAAGCTCATTATTTATTTTTATTTTTTATTTGTAGAAAAAACACATTTTTCCAAAGCATAATATTTATATTGTAAATATTGTAAATAGTATTTATATTTATGTTGTTGAGATTGGAAATCGTCTTGAAATCCGTCATTCTGTATTCACCAAGTGAATATTTCAATGTTTTGTTGTATGCTACATCTTCATGCTCAGTGCTTGTAAAGTGAAAGTAAGCATTAATACAGACTGTTTTGTTTTGGTTGTATTATATGTTACGATGTTAACTTAGTGAGAAATTAATTTTGATAAAATGTATTTAGTGCTAGGTCTAAGGACAAAGATCCCGAATACTCACTAAATATTTCAAAATGTGCTTAACAAACTAAATTCTATTGAGTCGAGCTATATATACATGTTTAGCATACTTTAAGGGTTTTCTGCTTTCCTTTTTTGATATTGAGATAATTTGATTTTTGAAATTGCTTCATGCAGTTAAAACATGTCATCAGATAAAGGAATGTATTTAATTATATTGAAACTGCAAAAATGTTTTGTTTTTCTTTCAGTTTTTGAAATACTCCGTTTCATCCAGACGCTTAACACACCAGTATGGTGACTTTAATGACTCCCAAAACTGGTTGTTTTTTGTTTTATTTTCATTATTTCTTTATTTATAGATTTACTTTTTGAATATCTGTTCAGCCGATCATTCTGCTGAAAGAAATACTGAGTGCTTTTGTACAGAACAAATGCATTTATTAATATTTGTTGCGCCAAAATATTAAAATAAAAAACTAAAATAATAGAATAATATTTGTCTCTTATTTTTTTTAAGCTTACAATGTTTATCGACGGTTAAATAAATTATTCCAATATAAAGCTGAAATAAACCTTATCTGGATGTAGGTTCCTGATTCATAATACACACGCCGGTGCCGTTGTCAAAGACAAGAGAAGATGGGGAATATGACCAATATACATATAGTTTGTACCTTGGAGTTTTCCTACCCAAAAATTTATAAGCAAAATTATTCACTTTCTGCACAGTTATATACGTGTTTTCGAAACGCGAAGGCGTTTTTGTTAGCCATATGTTTGCACGAAAAACAAATTCAATAGCTATATCCTCGCACCTGCTGAAAACGTTTTCTTTTTCTCCCTTTTAAGCTTGAATCTTGAAATAAACATAATACAAACTGATTTTATTTACCCTTTTGTCTCGGTTGTCTTAAAATGCAAAAACGCTCGAACCTGAGGCCATAAGTAGACTTTATCTGTTCAATTCAATGGTTTATCTGCAACTGATATATAAATCAAAATTTTCATCGCGAATCTGGCATCTGAACAGTGCCTAGAGAGACTAGTAGATGGTATAGTGTAAAATAATATAATAAATCTTCTCAGCCCAAAACCGAGAGGGAATATCGATATCATTTTTACATGTATTTATTATATCGAACATGCTCCTAGATAAGAACTTTCTGGAATCCCACAGGAATTGAGTATAAAAACCTGTGTATGTAATTAGATATTTACCAATCATCTAATCAGAGAGAATGTGATGAAAATTTAATGAAGTGGTCAGAAACATTGAGTTCGAGTTCATCCTTTAAGGACATCGTAGTAACCTTCAGAGAAGGTCATCACTACTTCTGAATTAAGATCTGCAAAACCCCTAGCTCACTTTAGCTTATAATTAACAGTATTACATTGAAGTTATTTTTGGCAAATCTATAAGATATAAGTACATGTCAAATTTGTCTTCAGACTTTCGCCCGCTATAGTAAACAATTTTTCCAGGCATGTTAAGGTGATTGATTAACTTGGGTTCAGTTTAGGCTTCAGTTAATTTGAAATCGTATCCTAACGCATGAGAGCGTCTGAAATTCTACGGAAGATCGACCAAATATACTTTGAATTCAATAAAAGCCATCCGCATCTGGCAGTCAAAGATGAAACAAACACTTTTTTTAGACAAAACAACTGAAAACCAGCTATGTTCATTTACAAAACATCCGTGACAATAACAGCAAAATTTATATATAGAAATCAAATGTGCCGATATTGAGTCATGTTTATTATTTGCTTAATTAGCGACTTTATTTGTGATTGTTTATAGATAAGATAATGCCTATCAATTAAGTTTCTTTCACAAACTTTCGTTAAATAACAGAGAGGACACATATAAGCGATTGTTAATGGTTAATTCTTTATTCTTTACGATCCAATGCTGTGGATATCCAAAAGACAAGAAACATCAACACATACAATCATTCTGATGAGCAAAAAATAAATATTTCATGCACATATTTATTATAAATGTTTCAACTAATGGTAAAAACCCAACGAAATTAACGAGAATTTCACAGAATGTTCGCTAATGAAGAATACATGTAATATTTTGCTATTCATTGGAAACGCAAAAAAAAAAGAAGAAATAATGAAATATAGAAATTCTACACGAGCAAGACAGATAATTGAATGGAATTGTAAAAGAGCATAGTGTGAATGCTGCCTATGGAAAATCTATCGCTAGATACTGGATATTCCCAATGCAAGAATCTGGATCCTCTCCTGCATTCTACTATTGATTGACACATTGTAGCTGGATGATCTTACATGTGCTATTTACTTACCTGCATAATGGGATCGGTCTATTAAGGGTTTACTTAATCCGCGACAATCTATCCTACATTTTCTTATTTACATGTTAAACTACAAACAAGAAAACCTGTACGTGTTGAAGACACTTCCTCAGTTTTTCCCCCCAGGACCCCCAGAAAAGCAGAGCCAAGGAGAATTTTACCTGAATGTGAAGTGTATCTTCCTCTACCAAAAAATAACAAAGAGAGAAGAAAAAAGGAGAAAAATCGTCAATTTTCGTCAATACAAGAAAAATAAATGACAGTAATATGCAGATTACATCGAAAGGTGCATAGTGCAGACAACATTACTTTTTTTAAAAACAGATATAGAAAATTGGGCTTAAAAAATTACATTATGCATATGCATTATATCTAAAAAAAAAAAAAATTAAGCTGAAAAATACGATGCAAAAATAAGGAAAAAAGGTAATTGTTAGCAACATTATTTATTATGCTTAAAAAAAAAACCTACAAACTCCCTTCTCAATCGCATTCATGTGATTTTTTTCATGGCGAAGCTCCGCAGATTTAATGATGATTTGTGAACCACGCTTTCATAACGAGATACTCAAGCACATTCCGCATGGAGAAATGCATTGGTAATCACCTCAAAGCGGCTATTAATTCTGTCAACTTCCTTTTGGCGATCAGCTTTAATACGAAACTTATTCTGTAATTCAGCCACTGTCGTTCATTGCCGCTAGTCCATTTTATTGAGATCCAGAAAGGAAGTAGAACATTTATCATAACACGTAAAAAGTACCGCCAATTTAAAGAAATATGAATACCAAAGGGAAAATCTCAAAAACTTGTTTTTATATGATTCAGCAAAAAACATCAACGTTGAACTTTGAAAAAGGATAACTTTTTAAGCTCATAATTACGATTATGATTATCTGTATGAATACCTATGAACTAAATGTGATCTTACAAGATTCTGAACCATAGACTGGGTCGCGTCTTCATTTAGTAAAAATATATTATCGCAGCAATGTCTTTGGTTCTGGCAATAAATAAGCTATATATACTACATGATGATGTAATCATGAACTTTGGAAATATTTTGTGGGGTAAATGCTAAATACAGTCCTAATTTAAAAGGCATTATTTACACTGATAACTCAATTCTAAAATAAATAAACTTTTTTTAATAAATACAAATATCGATGATTCTTATTTTAAATGTTGTAATACCATATCCATT